GGCTTTTGCATGTCCTATGCAACCCATTTGACGGACGACGCACGACGGGCGACGCACAACGGGCGACGCACGACGGGCGACGGACGACGGGCGACGCACGACGGAAGACGGGCGACGGAAGACGGGCGACGCACGACGGGCGACGGACGACGGGCGATGGGCGACGCACGACGGGCGACGGACGACGGGCAACGCACGACGGCAGATATGGAATTCCATACTGTCTCTGTATCCAGCCCGGCCATGCAGACTTTCCTAAATTCTTTTAATACTGGCTTTGTTACCCGACCGACCCCGACCTGAACTCAACTTCGGGTCAGCTCGGTTTTTCCACCATTTCAGCTGGGAGAGGTCGGTTTCGATTTGCGTTTGCGATTATCAGGTCAGGTCGAATCAGTGAAGCCATCGTGGTAAAAAGAGTGAGAAATACCGGGCAAAAAGAATTTGGGACATTCACACGGTGCATTATTACTGAAGAGTTGCTATGCCAGGTATGTCCAGGATGCGGGAATCCCCCCCCCCATTACATTTTTCTGCACAGTCACACAGAGATTATCGCTAAAGTTTTGAGTTCTCGTAAAGATTGATTTCCAAAAGAACGCGTGCGTAACGCCAATGATTATGTTCAGGCACAGAAAGCGGCAAATACGGGCGATTCACAATAGTGCGCCTCCAAGAGTTTGCAACGCGTTGGCCAATCACGATACGCGAAATCTGTAGACCCAATGCGCGTTTGGAAAGGGTCCACAAATTTCGTGCATTGTGATTGGCCAACGCGTTGCAAACTCTTGGAGACGGGCTATCGTAAATAGACCGTATATTGTGGGACGATTTGTCCCAGCCAGACGACTTGTTTGAGTTTTTTCGGGGTGGTTTGGTAATGCGTCGTTTCGGGTCGTTTTATCTAAGTTGATGTCGGTTCGGGTCTGATTTATGAAGATATGATCGGTTTCCAGTCAGATTTGGTTTATATCCACCGTGTTTCGGATCGGTTTTGGCCCGTTCGACCGGACCCAATTCACAGTAACCCGAACATCTCTTGGGCTTAATCACAAAAAAGAAGGTAAAGTTGAAATCAGGTCGAACCGCCGTTTCCTTGCAGCCTCGTACCTGTAGTTTCGTTTGCTTTCACATCCACAGATGTAAGAAGAAATGACGGCATTGTTGTCCCCATATTGGCTGCTTTTGGGGGATTTATTGTCATCACGACCATGGTGCTGATATTGACATGGGCACGAATTTCAGGAAAACGTCGAAGGCCACAAACATATGCGTCCAAAATGTTTCGGAATAGAGCTGTCGGTTTGGAGTGCGTGGAAACATCTGCAACACGGCCTCCAACAGAGGTAAGCAGCTAAAAACACAAGCACTGCGGGGAGATGTTGCCTTCTTGCCCATTGAAGAATTGGTTCAATGGGTACACCAGACTTTTTCTTCTCGTTTCTCCGGAAATTCTCCTCTTGTTTGGTGTGGAATCTATAAGACTGTTTCGGGGGATATGCCATGAGATCCAAAGACGTAGGCCCACATACCGTGACAAACGAACGCAATGCCCCATTCAGCAATCACCAATTAAAAATAAATTACAGTACAAATGAACTCGAAGAGGCCTATTAAACCTACTGGCAAATATAGATATTATTCAACACAGTCGATCCTGTGTAAAACTCATCAAAATTTCTTCCCTTGATAATCACACAAATAATGCACATGAGATATCTTTCCAAATAGCCGCGCGTTTTATAGCCCAAAAGGGCGCAACCTAGACCCTTTCATTGAAATACCATCCGTACATTGCATGCGGCGTACATTTGACAAAACTATCAAAAACGTTTACGAAGAACCATGAATGTTGAAGTTCGGACTGCGGTTAATTTGTCACTTAACCATTTGTCACATAATAAGCTCTGGATACGGGTCAGATCTTTGAAAGATTCTCATGTGCGCGAGAAACCGGCAATTTTTTTTAAAGTTTGCTTTGTCATCTTTGTTGTTTTGTCAACCACTTCAAAAATTATAGGTCTATATTGAATTGAACAGCCCGCCCCCCAAAAGGGTGTTATTCTTCTTTTTTCTGAATAACAATACACGAAATCGTTTGGGGATTTTTGTTCTCAAAGTTTCAACAGTCATAGCCAGTGCACATTTATTGTTAACTCATAGAATTCGGATACAAAAATTAATGAATAACAAATCAAACGTACGTATAATATCTGCTTTGATTGGGGTTTTAGGGCACCCCTGCCGCTATTGTATCCCGAATACCTGTGGGCTCAATTGGCTGTAAAGTTGGGGTCAACGACACCAAGGCTCTGTGGGGTGCCTGCGAGTATTTCCACCCGATCAGTCTTTATGATTAATCATGGGCTAAGCCTAGATGTTAAATAAAAGGAAGTGATCCTTTTCAAATTATGAACAATTTGTGTAATGAAGCATTCCCAGTAATTAAGCTTTACACTATTATACTGTGTCGTGAATAGATTACATTTCATACAATTAGTTTCTCCCCTTTCCTTCTCTGGTCCTTTGCTCTTTCTTTTAGTACGGGGGTTATGGCAGTGCGCTCAGAAACTTCTACTTACCTTACGTTGTTCAGGAGGCATCTGTGGTGAGTATTGTAGTTTGAATGTCCTTATGATAATAGTATACACAGATGGACTGGCAATGAAGTCTTCATGTGCTCGTGTATGCGCCCTGGGGACTCTGAACGATTTGAAGATGGTCCTATTTCCCGAGGCTGAAGGCCGCAATTACGTTTTGTTTGTTATAAATGATTTCTCCAAAGTAAAGAAAAATTGGACTGTAAAGGCACTTCCACAGTGGGAGTGAGAATGGTATCAGAGAAGTTGAAAAATTGCAATTGAAAACAGAAACCCTTGGTCAACCTTGGTTATTGGTCGTACTGTCTATATCGTCAAGTCTAACGAACTGCAACGCACGGCTTACCGCAAGGGGTGTCAAGCTCAGTAATGCGCGCAGCCAACACGTTGAACATGGCGCCGTATGTGAATGTACACTGAACTTGGGACGAGAGTAGGCCTACGCCAGGCTTTTGCAGTGGTCACTTTTTCTCTGTCTGCAAATGAATCCAGTGACGTTTCACTTCCATTCTATGGAGGAAGGCATTAGGTTTTGAATGGAATTAGTGTCACGGAACAGTTGTTCTTATAGGGTAGCTGCAATCAGTTTTTACCACAAACCTTCACATTGCAATTTTGTGTCTTAGGCCTAATTAAATAAATTAAATATAGGTGCATTGTGTCTACGAAAAATTCATTGAAGCTACACTTTAGGGGGGTGTGCTTGGAGAATGGACTATCAATATCCGAGCCGCAGGTGAGGGTATGTTCAGCGTCCATTCTCCTGAGCCGATCTTTTTTGAGGGGGTGAGAAGCACATTTTATTCCTATTCATAAACTTGTGTGTCCAAAAGTCAAACAAGTTCAACAATTATATATTTAAAATGATTTTGAGCACTTTAACTTTATTTTATTGAAGTACCCCTCTTGCCATTGTATGGTACGTTCCCGGCGTGCCTGCGGGTGACACGCTCTGCGCGAGGTGCCGCAGAACACGCGTCACGATGAGCCAATGGCGAGGGACATCTTAATCAGCCGCCATTATCCAGTGCAGGTCTTCAAAATTTAGGACCAGCCAAGCACATACTTATTTCCATTTCTATATACCTTATGAGTCGGAAAGTCAAAACAAGTTTAAAACTATAAATTTTCAAACGTTGTGTTCAACAGTTTTACTTCCATAGCCAGGTTAATGTGGTATGTACCTGCTCGAGTCGGTACTCCATCAATCATTTAAGACCGGCCACGGGACGGATTCTGGACCGATAGGAATGGCTTAACTGTCTTGGGTATTTTGGGCCAGTGCAAATGACCATGTAGATTTACCATTGTCACAGGATTCGTCGGCAAGGTGTCCTTGTAAAATAGTCTTTCCCGCTCAGCGACTAACAAGTGAATATGGGAGATGGCGTCCCACTGCCGCACGTTGATTCTTGTGCTCTGTCTCCGCCCTTTCTCTCTGATACAGGAGAACTCATTCACCTGGGACGATTCCTTCTTCTACTAGCATACTTCCTAAATAATTCATCTGTTTGTGGAATGAACAAGATCGCTCCGGAGCACCGTACATTTTGTTCGTGGTATCTACATCATTAATGTTTTTCATTTACCCCGTCAGCAACAAGAACTCCGAAGATTTTCTCCTCATTAAGGGAAAGGTTCTATATCTATCTCCTCTGTAGCATTTTTGAATATTTCAATCCCTATTTAATTCAATGTAGATTTATTGACTTATGCACGTAGTACGTGAAAGCCGTTTCAATTTTTTTCCCAGGCCAACGATTTTACTGTTTCCGCAACATTGCTGCACTTAAGCATGTTGTCATCTAATTTATCAAATGTAAAATGATACATTATGTAATGTTGCTCAAGTTAATGGCCATGTACTCGGTACTTAAGTAATGTGAATCACGTTTGCTTATTGTAAAGAATGACAGCATTGAAATAAATCGTTCGTTCGTTCGTTCATTCATTCATTCAAAAAGCACCAAGTTGCACTTAGGCCTAACCTTGTCCTTAACATGATTACAGAAATATAATTTACATAAACATGAGGATATAGATACGAAAGAATACAGACTGCTCTCATATTTGTGTTGGCGGCCAAATGTTGCGGAAATATCATTCTTGGCTGGTGTCAGATTTTAAATCAGAATGTACCGTACATTTGTCCATAACTTTCAAAGAGGATCATATTTCCATTTGGTATTGAGAAGTTCAATTATTAATTTAGCGTTTTGATAAGGGTGTGAGATTTTTAACACTTAGTGAGTTATTTTTTTGCTTTTAAACTGACGGCAAGCCATGGTTTTACCAGCCGCTGCATGGTAGACCCAAATTCGACAGGATTTTAAATTAAAGTAGGAACGAAGGATGAAGGAAATGAAACCTGCATTATTTATGATTAAATTAACGGCAAAATTCATCATTTTTACAAGTAGTTAAAATATTTCTCAATGTGAATTCCATTCACACTGAGATAATTTTTGGATAACGTAAGAAGAAAAGGGTGAAGAAAATTAAACATTTATTATTAATGATTGAATCAACGAGAGAACGCATTATTTGTACATGTACTTAAAATATTGCTCAAAATGATTACCATTCAAATTGGATTTTTTTTATAACGTGAGGAAAAAGAATCATGCGTTGTTTATGCATGCATATAAAATATAGGCTACGTTAATTTAAATGGAATGTAATAAACTAAGCACACAGTCGCGTTCTTTGTTCATCAAAGAATTTCGCATAGCTATAGATTTTGGAATGAGTGCGCATTTGCTGTAAAGGAACCAAATTAGGATGTCTTTTTGACATTCACAGTGCGTCATCAGATTGAATGACAAATAAGCAATGCGTTTTTGCACACAGTGCCGAGGAAGCGTACTTACAAAACATTAATCAGTTTCTATTTTCCCTCCTATTAATTCTTTCATACTCGAAATTAAACCATCTTTTTCATGCTGTGGTTCATCGAAGATTAGGAACAAAGTTATTCGCAAAATAGAATTGCAAAGCTTACCAGAACGAGAAAAACCTGCACGGTCCCTTCCACAACATTAATTATGATCGTAAATACCTGGCCATCCCGCATTTTACAGCCTGTTTTGACTGATGCCTTTTTGAAAACACATTAAAGGGACGATTTTTTCGTCTCGTAAGCTTTAGGAAAATTGTCTCCAATTATTTCTTTCCCATTATGCATGTATCTGAAATGTATTAGTTTTAGGTTTACGGTTCACTTTCTCCAAATGCTTGGCCTTAACCCAATCCATGACGCAGTGAGGCGAACTTTTATTCATTTTATTTGGCGCTAAAGACACCTTAAGGCTCCGTATGATGTGTAATAAGGTTTTGGTGGTAATAGTTTACACTGGTGTATTGTTTAATTTGAATCCTGTAGCCCAATGGTTTTGAGTGTTGACCTGGAGATGGTTCGTATCCAGGCTATGAAGTAGTCAACCTATAGTTGTGGCGCGCCATGCACTTCGTTAGAGATTCCGCTGAGCCGGGCTACCGTGCGTAAGCCGGGTTATGCCAAAGGATAGGGTGAAATTTTTTTTCTGACGGCCGCCCTATATTATCTTGCATCCGACAAAGACTACGGAATTTCAGCTCCGCGTCCGAGGATGATGGCAGAACTTCCGAGTTCTAAAGTTGAGGCATTTCTATGATGTGTTACTGCTTAATAAATAACGGCCGCCAAATCATTGTGCGTCGGCCGCCAGATAGTAAATTGGCAGGCGCCAGAAAATCAAGCTAAAATAAAACAAAAATCCGACACTATATAGAACACAATTTGTATCCTATCCCTTGGCACGATCCAGCTTGTATACCCACGAGGCAAAAGTTAAGTTTGTGTAAATCGAGCATATACCGAAAATCTATAAGGAGAGAGATCGTAGAAACACAAAATTATTTTTTCTCGCCAGGGAGAGAATATTTGAAACGAAAAACTTGGACAGATGCCTATATTATTACCTTTAAGTAACTTTAAGTCATTCCTTTCAAAAGCTACGTTTACATTGAAAATGATTGCTCTTTTACTCAAATAGCGAGAGAAGATCGTCATTCCATGTACTTCAAATAGGTACACCATTGAGCACTTCTGTTTACACAATTAGGTAAATTAAAACTGAAGATTACATATCTGCTGTGAAGTTTTGCACGCCATCACGTTTGACGATACACAGTCTTGGATTCAAGCAAGTTGCTCCTCATAACTGAAGTATCTTCCGTCAAAGATTAAATCCTCGAGGTTCCTAGAACAGTGGCATAATGTTGCTGGGTACCGTAAATGGAAGCACAAAGCTTCATAATGTATACTGGGTCGACGCCATAATAAAAGGTCATTGTGCAGAACAGTGGATGCTAAACGGGCTAAACTGCGAATAGCATGTAAATCCAAAGAATTCGTGTGGAGACAGTGAGTTGCAGGGGTGATTGTTGAAGACCTGTTTCCAATTATATTATAACCACGTTAATTTCAACAACAGTTTGCGAGAAGCTGCGGAGCATGATCATTCTGTGTAGTTCAAGAAATTTACAAAAAAAAGATTCTTGGGATATGAAGCCGTACCCCATCATCGAAACACTCAACGTTCAGATTTTGCGCTTACGTTCTCTTGCCATTTCCTGGAATCTGGTCTTGTCAGTTACATACGCAAATGAGGAATAATCAGGAACCTTGCCGTCCGGTAAGGTCACTCTACTTGAGCTTACTTCTGACCATCACAGTTGGTTTGAGACATTCGGTCCGGCGTCTTACATACAAAGACACAATTCCTGCTGCAAAAGAAGTCGTTCCACTTGCCGGTATCATACAAAATGCTGCACTTCTCGTTAGTATCATTAGGCTCACCGCGCTCCCAGTTGGTGTAGTCACCCAGCCGACACCCGTCGACCCAAGCGAAGGCTCTCGGGGTGTTATCGACGCGACGGTAGCCAAACCAGATAAACTGGCCCTGATCAACGGTGGCGGCGATCAAGTCGGAGACGAAGTCTTGTTCCTCCTGGCTTCTGATCGAGGCCAGATGAGACGGTCTACCATGGACGGTCAATCCCTGGCAATGGGCCTCGGCTTCGTCGAACGTCTTGGGCTCGGACCAGACGAGATAGCAGTGGCTTCTGAAATTCACCCAAGGTGGGCGACAGGGTGTGCATGCTATCACCGCAAATACCTGTGACCCAAGCGCTGCCACCAATACACAGGCAGCAATCATTTTCAAGCTACCCATGATCGCGAAGAGCTGCGGTAAATTTGAAACAGTACGCACTTCGGTAGAAGTATTACGGTGGCTACCAGTGCACCCTCAACATCAAGTGACGCCACTTCATTGAGTGTATGGCTGAATTATTAACGACCGCCCTCTAAACTGAGCCGAAGCATATTTCCGGTAGACAACCAAGCGCAAAAACATGCATGGCTGATAACTCCTATTAACTTATTCAAATGATCAGAACAAAGAGCTATATGATCGAAGTATATGGTGGCTACCAGAGCACCCTAAACATCAAGTGACGCCACTTCACTGATTGCAGGAATGAATTATTGACGACCAAATGAGTCGAAGCGTATTTCCCATAGACAACCAAGCGCAAAAACATGCATGTTTGATAAAAGGCTTAACCAAGAACAGAATAACATTGAAAGATTTAAAGTTACACTTAATGGACGTAACGGTCAGAAATTATTCATCCTCAAGGGTGTTCATACGTGCCTGCAAGTTGGGTGGGGCGTGGTGACAGTGGCGTACGCACGGAGGGCATGTTGCCACTCATGGGGTTATTCTATTACTAGAGGGACTGAAAGTTCCAACATTTTAAAAATGTCTTCTTTTTTTGGGGGGGGGGTGGGCGTGTGTTGAGGAACCTTTCATTAAAATAACTGGACAACCGTTGTGGGGACAAAATAAAAAAAAATAATTTTTCTCCCCTAGACCCAAAACCTAGATTGCACTGCTAAAGGGCGAGGAGATGACAGAAATCTGACATCGTCAGGCTGCCCAAAAAATGGGGGGGGGGAACACCACACTTTAGGGCGCGCTGTTCACGATAAAGAAGTAGATATTACACGGTTATAGACCAGTACATGTACATAGACTGCCAGGAATGTTGTCTCACGGAATATTTAGATTGAGTTTTTTCGTGCGCAGTTAAAGTTTTGACTGACCGGCTATTCAATACTTCCTATTCTCGTGGTTGAGCTTGATTGCCTTGTGACGGACAGTGGTGATAGATATCCCCAAGTACTTCAAAAAAGGGGACAAATGTCTTTGGTGTTGAATAAACAAATCAAATTAAAGCTCATTTCGTAATCTGTTAATTTTTTTCCAATTTCTATTGGTTTAACCGATTACCCCTAAAATCAGTCAAAACGTCTGCACTCCATTCAACATACATGTGTATGTAGTTTGAATGGCCCCTTTTTGTTGATTTTTTTCAGAAATACAAGCCGGGAGACCTGCTGATAGCTTCTACCCATCTTCTTTTTCTGAACTATCCAATCCACATTACTCCAATAGCTGAGACTTTGACAAAGCACAAACCATAAATTGGTCGGTTAAAGCAATTCTGGAGCCTATTCACTGTCCCGCAATTGTAATTTTATTTTATTTATTTCATTTTTCTAGTTGCCCTGCCATTTGGATTTCGCTTCGATTGCTGGTTTGTCACTTTTCGGCTGCTGTTTTAAACTGAAAATGAAACAGAATCCATAAATAATGTTTCCCTGGTATCGAATTGTAATAACGCGGAATGGTCTCTAAAGGCCCATCCTCGGCCATAATGTGTGTACACTGCATATCCCATCCAACTCGGTTTACGGCGATTATTATCCTAACTTTTGTTGGATGAAAAAAAGCAATTGTCGCGAGTCACATGTTTTTTTTGCAGGAAATACAAGGGTGTGTGTGCCACTAAATAACATTAATTTTATTTGACCCCCCCAAAAAAAAGAAAAGAAAAGAAAAAGAAAAAGAATACTCAGGACTTATTTAGTTAAGCCACATGACACAACCCACGTTTGCCATACGAACATTAATAACACTCCGGTGCAGTTTCCGGAGCTCATTAAGCCAATGTACGTATATAGGTACATGATCTTCAGCATAAGCAAGGACTTACGAAAACTTTAACTGCTAATCTTCTTACTGCTTTAGTTTGTATCATCACACGAAAGGCTAGAAATATGCCCTCAATAGTGGTACACAATCATCTTTTGTTGGGTGTGTTTCTCAACATAATGTGCAGTCTTTTCTAGGTGTGGTACGTTGCGTCACCTTCATATTCATAGTAACACTAACAGTTTTAACAGGATATCAGACTTATTTGGAAACTTTACTCATTAATATGCGGCGTGTAAAAAAATAGGCTGTAACCCAGTCCACGTTGATGCACCATGGTAACTTCTGTTCTGTGGAAAATATTTTCTGTGAACATTTATCATTTAAACATCTGCAAGAAGATATACAGTGCAGCACCTTAAAGCAGTGGTCTGTCTATCCACCCAGAAAATTGCGGTACTCCCCGGCCCCCGGCGTACATCTATAGCCTGTCTACAGCCTTGGCCAGTTATTAGATCCATGATGTTCGTTCCGATTTAGCGGCTGAACGGTAGGCTAGTAAACGGGAAGTCAGATTTCCATATTCGTACACCTTAAGAGGTGCAGCGTTTTTCGTTGGGAACCCGACTGCGTCACGGGTATCACAACCAGTGGAAGGGAATTACAATTTATGATAACAATGGCATTGCTGAATATGAATAATTCAAACTTGTGCGCTGCACTCGAACTGGGGTAACGATTGTGAGTTGAATAAGTGGTGATTCAAGTAATATTTTTGCGAGCACTTCAAGTTGACGTATGAGACCTAACTGTTCGCATCTACCCCGGGCCCTCCCCGACATTTATCTTTTTCCTAGCTCCGTCTGGACATCGTCGGAGTTCCGTCAGCGTCGACTGAGGCATAGCCCCAATAAGGGAATCAGTCAATGACTCGGAAGTTTCGGGACATTATCACAAAGGGGAGACAAGAATTGAGAACTTCGCTTTATCCTTCGACATTAGCTAATTTCCATCAGGATTTGAAATACAAAAGCAAAGTCAAGCACGGTCGCCCAAGCGGTAGCAATCAAGTCTCTTAATTTCAAGCCACTTACTTGATCTGAAGAATTTCAAGTTTGAGTTCTATATTATCTTCAATAGAGCAGTCCTGTGCATTCTGAGTACCTCATTTCTTCCATGGTGGCATGTACTGTACAATGTACATTACCAGCCTTTTACGTGGTCACCAGAAGAAAAACATTTCCTCAAGCACAGATAACTTGCTGAAACCGTCCAAGTCAGCTGAGGTCAGGTTTGACATTACCCGTACCCAGCAGTCTAAGGTCATACAGTTACATGAACTTCTGTACATGTAGATTATGGTAAGGACATGCATAACCTTGGTTCCAAGACGTTGCTATTTGTCCGCGGTCCACTAATGCGCCGCAGCCGCAGAGATATGTGGCCAACTGTTCGTGTGAAGTTGGCCTGAGGACGTGCACAATGAAATCTGGACTCGCAACGCCCTTAATCACCTTATAGAGATCATTGAATCCACTCGCAGCCATTTTACCGAGCCGAATACAAAGCTTTCCTGGCAATGCCCACCTTTGTTCTTCCGACGTCTTAGAAGGGAGCATAGACCTGGAGGAGAAAAAACAGGTCTATGAAGAGAGCCAACCCACACATTTGTATTCGGCTCGGTAAAATGGCCGCTGGTTGGCTTCTTCTTCATTACAAAGAAGGTGTTGCAAGTCTAGGTTTTTTTATATACATGAACATGTGGATTGGCCGCGCGTGATACGCCCCCTTACGCGGCGTGTTCAACGTTCGCGAACATGAAAATGGCAACGGCTTGGAATAAAGACTAGTGGTATCCATGACCAGCGCATTTCTCTGCAAGGGTGCACTGAACTATTTGAAGCCCCATTGAAGACAATGTAAAATCGACCACGTTTTCAGGCCCGGTGGGGACAACTGAAGTCCCTCAGGCCTCTTAAAAAAAAAAGTGTTCTGGGGTCATTCAGCTCTCAATTGATTTTCAAGTTTTAGTAGGTTAACCAATGAAATTTTTAATTATCTACCCAAAATAAACTCACCTCCCAAAAAGTGAACGTTCCCAAGTCTGTCTGCAGCCATTTTTCAAATAACATCCCTCCACCTTTTCCGGCTGTTAGGACAATTTTTCAGTAGCATTTTTCTTTGCTTAGCCCTTAGATGGGAGCCCTTGAATCTAGGGAGTTCATTCTGGGCCATGTTTTCACAAACCCACAAATTCTTGGGCCACAAAATTTCCTCTTTTTAAAATAAACTGTAGGGGTTCTTTTTGAGCGCCCCGCGTTGCCGAAAATTTCCCTTGAATTGGGCAGTCACGGTGCACCCTGTAAGTGGTGTCGGTATAAATTATTATAAGTACCTTCCTCCGGTTGTGATATTGCGCTACTATTTTGACCGTCGACCTCGAACGGGCCTTCATTGTCAGATTTTACTGGCTGCTCAATGATTAATCCATGCATGCATGAGTTTAATGATCCTCTTGCGGCCGGTTTGCGAAATCTCCGGATGGGCATGGTGGATGAGCGCTTCGGATCAAGCGAATGAAATCAAAGACCCTCCCCAAAATGAAAGCAATTCCGGAAGCCTCCTTGCCACTTTACAACGAGGAGTACGTGGCCCAATTGCAGCGATTTTTCGGTCTCGAACTGGCCTCGAAAACTGCTGACAATGGGTCTCTACCTACTGAGAACCGCGAGGAACGGGACTCGTCTGCAGCAGCGGCCATTGCTGATGATTTGACCTCAAACTCCAACCAAGCCTGTCGTGTCCACGACAAAGACCGAGAAACTACCTACTTCTCGCTGAAGCAGCGCAAAGCGCCCGAAGTCGAGAAATGCGATGGAGAGCGGGATCGAGAAGAAGGACCCACCGATGGGGTCGGGCCAGATCCTCCCGACCGGTACAGGGTGCACAGCAGGTTCTGGTATGCGATTTTCTCCTTCGGTGCCCTGCTCGGTGATGATACATTCTACTACTTCATATTCTGTTTCAGCGTCGCCAACCTCTCGTGGTGGGTGACCCGACGCCTTCTCATGGTGTGGGGCTTTTGTATGTTTATTGGCCAGGCGTGCAAGGAAATCTTGCGCTGGCCTCGTCCAAGGGAGCCACCGGTTGTTCAGTTGGAGAGCCGATACAACAAGGAGTATGGGATGCCATCCACCCATGCAGTTGTTGGTACCCTCATGCCATTCACACTGCTCATTAGCACATGGAATCACTATGAGGTGAGCTTACATGTACATTATCTCCGTCCTGGGTCATTGTATTTTTTAGTTGATCGGCGTGATCGGTCATGTCACCTTGCCTTAACTGAAGTTTTGTTGATCATTTACATGTAGGCCTATTTTATTAAATACATGGGAAAGAGTTCCAACTTCCATATACGGACATCTCGTGACACCCTAGTGCACAGTTTGAGCCTAGTTTGAAATTGTCAAAATCGAATAATTCACTATTCGAATATTCGACCTTCAATTCGGTCGAATATCCGAATATTCGGTCGTATCGACCAGCAGATTGTTGAGGAACAAATCATATACAAAATCAGTTGCAATAACGGACACAATTGTACATAATAATCACTATAATACATTAACCCTAACCCTCCTCAATCCTTCACCTGTTGAGGACTGAGGAGTGTTAGGGTTAATAGCTTTTCATGTCTACGAGTATCACCAGCCACGATTTAGCAGGATTTCAGAGATGAACAATAATTCTTTTCCTGTTGAAAATGTATAATCTTTTAAATTTTTTGTGATCTTTTTCTGAGGGATTTATAAACCACTGAAAGGGAAAATAAGTGATGTTCATTTGGAACACTTAAGTACAATGGTATTACTAATCTTTAACACCCAGTTTCTGTAATCAGCGGTAATTAATGAAGAAACAAAGTCTACTTTTATGAAACAACTCAGCTAGAGAAGTTTGCAGTGATGTCCTGTTGGGTTCTTTCATATCAGAAAGAATTAAAAGAGGACCAGTTTTTTTATTTTGAGGGAAATTATGGGGTAAAACTGCAGTGTACATGACGCAACGGAGAGGTGTGACCAAAAGTGAATTATGTAGTCTGGTTCCTTGACTTGGAGGAAATTTTTTTTAGGCATCTCGAATCTTAGTATAGGCCTATATTTACCGTGGCCATGCCGGATAACCAGACGTGAAACAAAATGGCATGACTTGACTACATGTAACTGGTTGTTGTTCGCCAAAAGGGGGTAAGAAAATTGTAGGGTTGTTTATTTAAATATTGTTAAACTTTACCTAAACTAGAGCTGTCAAGTTCAAAATGTCAGTCAGTTGGTAAAAGTGGACTTTGTTTCCTTATTATAGGAATAGGGTGCTAAAGGTTAAGAATACCATATATACATGTTTACATCAGGAGCCTACGTGTTCAACTGCCAGCAGTCGATTTCACGGAACTTTACGCAATGGTGCACTGTCATTTATGCCACATTTCATCACATATGTTGTGCAACAAATTAAAGCGATTTCACAAAACTCAGGCACTGATAAGTCCACGACTTACACAACAAATTATGGCATAACTTACGCAGTCATTTTAGGTGGCATACATTGCGCCAAACAAAGTGAATATGAATGATTTGACTTGCTCATCATGTTTCGTTCAGCCTCTTCATTGTTAAACTTAATGTTTGTACAAGAAATGTAGCCTTCAACTTTGTTTTACAGGGTAATGAAAAACTTGTTTGGCTGTGAGAGAACTGCGAGATTTTCTCTCCGGTCCTGACAAAGAAAAGACAAAAGCTTTTTCAAAAAGGCGTATGGTGGTAATTCAACAGCTGTTTGATGACTGTTGTGACATTGGAAAGTACATGCTACAGCCGTCGAAAAGCTGTTATCGTCCTCATCCAAGAAGATTAATATTATTCAAACGTAGCGCAGCTAAGCAACTTTCTGTGAAAGTATATTGCTCAGGTACAATTTGTGGTGCAAGGCTTGCGCATTGTCTAAAGTTACACCACGTTTCGTGAAATCAACTGCTGAATTTTTAATTTTTAGTTGCTATTATTCCGAAACATGACTTCCAAGTTCTATAGGTATGGCATTGTTCAACAAGCATTGCCAATCCGTATGAGGCAGCGTTTTAGCTAGCGAGCCGTGCAGCCGTGTTTTGCACGGCCAGTTTTGTGAAATCACGGCCCATTTTTTCAAGCACGGCCGGGCGGTGCGAATCAAGCCATGCACTACTGAATTTGACGCTTGATTAATGTAGATCCCGAAAAATGTGAAAATAAGATCTGAGCTAAAATTCAGTCTTTTCCCCATGCTTTTTTCCATCAACCATTCCAAAATAGAAAATACGCTGACACAGTTAAGTATAACGACACTACAGTTCAGATGTTCTAACATATCAACGCCGACAGGCAGGTTCCCTTACTTTTAAATAATGAACTACAGCACCGTGTCTATCAACTTGTAACAAAATGAACACAGGGAGCCATACTTGTTTACTAGCAATTGATCATACATGTTATCAACCTTGTTCCCATGACGATCGTTAGAGCCCACTCTTGCACGAGGTAGTCCATGGGGACGAGGTTGACATATAATCATTTCGGGGCTTGCGCTCCTTGCTCATCATATCCTCCAGAATGACACAAAAAATGACAGACTTCTTCTCAAAAGCAAGGGTTGACCTACACATAATATTTGCTATTGTCAGTAATCAGTATAAAGCTTGTTTAGGTTCTTCTACCTTAACGATGGAAAAAAATTGTCAATCTCTTCCGATGCCACGTTCAGACTCTTGCACAAGCGAGTGCGAGCATGTGGCCTGCCTGTGGTGGATGTGGATACGTGTACAGTGTGCATGTACATCTAGTACTATTTGAAAATAAAGTTTCAGGTCCATTTGTTGCAGACTGGTCTGGTTTGTGTTTCCAACGCCCCAGATTGGGTGCAAACAAGTAGATAGCAACCAGTCTAAAGTGCCATAACTACGTGTATAGTATCTGTTTTTGGTTAAGAATTTCACATCTCTTTGCAAAGTGAATCTTTCTCTATTTCGTCTTCCTTATTTTAATCTTCTTAAATAAGAGAACTTGTATTTGTCCACAAAACGTACTATACCATGGTTTAGTTTACGGATGATGATTTTTTTGGGGGTTTGTTTCTTGTTTTGCTTGCAGTATCCCCACCTGCTCGGGTTTGTTCTAGCTTGCAACTGGACACTTTTGGTGTGTTGCAGTAGGCTGTACCGAGGAATGCACTTCATTCTGGTAAGTAACAGTGCGTGAGTTCCTCCTGACTTCTATTTCAACATGATTTTGAAAGAGTTTACATTGTACATGTGCATACTGGCCACCCATGTGGTTTTGAAGCCAGGCGACAGCTCTGGTCTTGTCTGGAATATTGTATTTTCATTGGCCCAGAGCAATCTCATGACAAATACTATTGTTATACCATGGTCATTGATAGTGAACTTTTATTGGTTGCGAACTGATCACGGGATATGTCACAAGCGTGCATGTATCATTCACGCATCACGTGCACTGGCGATGTTGCCGGGCCACAAAAAATGATGGATCACGGTGATCTTTCCCAGAGTTGATGCGTCGCGTCTACTGCATTGTAATTGTGTAACCGTGGGTACGAGGTTGGATATAGCAGCAGTAGTCTTACTTCACTCGTGGAACACGAGTATGCTCTGATCACTGCTTCTGCTGCAATTGTCATTGCTGTTAATATAAAATGCTCCCGTCATTGCATCTTCTCATCTGCTCTTCAATCTTGTCCGTACTTTTCAATGGATTATATA